ATGAGTTAGTTAGCGTTTAGTTGTTGTTGTTGTTGTTGTTGTTTCACTTTGTGCCATCAACGAGCACTGAACCATTGAGCAAAGTTCGATGAAGTTCTTCATTGCTGAAATAAACCCTCACCTGATGTACTATTTCCACTTAACAATTGTTCATTTGACCATTGAAAATCCTACAAAATTTAGGTTTTCTTGAAGATGGTGTTGTGATCGAAGACGCTTCAAGAGCGTTTCGTCACTATCTGTTCAGGTTATTCGGCGGTCGTTCATGTTTCTCAGCATTCTCTGAATTTATTGCCTTATCACGAAATTTTATTTTTGTTTCGAAATGGTAATGAATTTTGGAAGTGTATTTCAGCAAACGATTTCTCCTCGATCTACTCGCATTAGTACCACTTGAATTGCTGGTATTTTTCCAGAAAGAGCTCGTTTTCTTAAGGTTATCTTTAATTTCTCACAAAATCAAGCACAACCATGAGTATTTCGTAATCTCCTTCCTCACACCCAAATGCAATCAATTATGCCTGCACATGTGAGCAGAATATATTGTTTGAGGCTATCAATTTGACCTTACTGTGATCTCTCTACAGCTCTACATCGCATGTGTTGTTTCAGTGGACTTAGAACCTCCGAGTGTTTGGACTGTTTTATTAGTGTTTTTCAAAAACTATGTGTGGTTAAGTTGTAACTTTGAAGTGAAAAATTCAAGATTGAATCGGCTCGTGAAATGCTATCGAATCACAGACTTTATATCGGTTGCGGTCATTCGAACCAAGTCTCCGACGTTGTTAACAGTCACGCAACTGATATTCGCCTGCTTATTGATATTTCATTGGAATGCATGTGTTTATTACTTTGTCGGTACCTTTTCCACTGCTGAATGTTAGTTTTTGTTGGGTTACGTCAATGAGAGTTCGTATCATTAACGTTATTCATCGCTTTTGTGCGAACTTCCATGATTATTTCATGAAATTATGAATGCATTCAAAACACGTTGCGTGCAGAAGAATGTATGTGTGCTTTCATGATTATTTCAGTGTGTACATTCATTGTCTAATCATTTTATCAGTCTTATGAAATCTGTGAAATTCAGCCGAAGATGAGACAAGTGCTTGGGCATTTAGATATGAAAAAATCACAGATCCAATAGTACCGCTGTGCAGTTGGTACCGCCCTAAATCAGGTTGTCTCTACAACGGAGGAAATCGAACTGACTTCGAAAGTACCGAATATATTAATGAACTGACTGAATTTTGGAAGAGCAAGTGAATTTATTTATCGTATTCCATCAACTATTTCACTTTCATCAACGTATTTCATCAACAATTATCGTATTTCAATACCATTCATTTTCTTTCAGTCGCTGAAAAATGAGCAACTCTTTTCCAATGTAAACCAGTACAGTGTTGCGCGGCACATTNTTGATAACGACAATCAAAAACCGACTGAAAACGACAGTTAAAATCGAACTCAAAATTCATACTCGACAGTAAGATTGTTTGAAAATTCAGATCGGCAGTTATTAAGTTCTCGAACCTCACAAAAAAGTACGCTCTTTGCATGTATTGGTCTGCGCTTACGCTCACTGCCCTTGGAGAACAGGTCCATTGCATTGAATTGCTTGTTCTTTTACTTTTGTTGCAAGGGCGATTCTATCACAACTACATCATGTGAAACATGAAAGTTTCTTAAGTTTGAAGTGATTTCTTCCTGAAATAGTGTTCATGAAACTCCCGAATAGATCTCAATGCCGTCAACATTTTAAATTTTTCGCCATCTCACAGAATGCTCACTCAATCATATAAAGATTACAGGAGGATCCGGTGAGATCAATAGAAAATGTAATGGAAATCTTCGACACACTTACTGGAATGATGATATTTGCGGTCATACTGGGTATGGCCGCTGATTTAATCGCGAGTGCAAACGCGACTAAACAAGATCTACGAAGCCGTCTCGATGGTACCAAATCGTACATGAAATACAGGTCTGAATCGATTTCAGACATTTGAACAAACACACGAAACTAACAGTACAGAAGTACAATTCGTTCAATTAAAATGTTCCGTTCATATCATGAAATTTCAAACGAAAATATGACTAAAAGGGTGAACGGTGCAGCAGTGATGTTGAACGAATAACGAGAGTTTCAACTGAATATATTAA